TCTACCTCAACTATGAAGTGGACTCCCCAAAAGGACATGGGTCCATCTGGCCAGCATTATTGATTGTATTCCTCGGACTGTCTTTTTCTATCCCTGCAGCCATATTACAATTACCCAATTGTATTGTCTCATCCCTTCCCCTTCTCCTTCATCCCCACCCCCTCCCGACTAGCAACCCTCAGTTCTGAAATTTTTAATAAAAAGCACATTATCAAGTTTTTTCCACTTGTAATGAAGATAAAATGGCTGTGTATAAAATTAATAACATTGTGCAATGTTTCTTATGTTTGAAAATATACATATATGTGGTCCTATTAAAATAACATTTTAAAAATGGTTTTGAAATTTATTTGACAGAGAGAAGCCCATCTGGGAGTGCGTTTGGAAGTCAAGAAAATCTGAGGTGGAGAAAGGATATGACTCATTGGCGCCAAAACACTGAGAAGCTTGACAAGTAATATAGCCTTCTATTTTATGTTATGTTACTGATGAGCTTGTTGGATTTCAAGTACAAGAGAAAAGTGATTAATTTTAATGTTATTTTATATAGGTTAGGCATTAAAACCTTAAAAGACAAAATAGTTATATTTAATTTTTAAATTTTAGATTTAAAAAGATTTTGGAGGAGGATTTTTCCTGTGGGATAGTAAAGCAAAATGTTACATATTTTAAATGTTTCTTCGTTTTACCCAACAACTCCCTTGGAAAATGCATTCTGCAACTGTTTTTTAACATGTTTTGGGTGTAATACTGAACTAACTATTTCAAGAATTACAAAAAATTAGAAAACTCATCTGTACCCTCTTGAAGGTTATAATATAATTAAAGAAAGACAAAACACTGCAGTTCTTCTGTTTCGAGCACGGAGGAAAGCTAGGTAGGCTGACTGATCCTATTGCCAAAAACAACTAAAAATGTCCTAACGTGAGTTTGAGATCCTAAAGGACTATATTTTCAGCATAAGAAGAACTAGAAATAAACCCTTTTCACTGCCCAGGTGACTGCAGGTAAAACTGCTTGGCTTGAAACTTGGCATTGAATCAAGGGACGAAGTATTTTTTCTTGAGCATTTGTAATTACAAGTTAGCCCTCAAATAGCTTGACTGGCCCGAGAAACTTTGAGAGTATGGTGATTGACTCATTCAGGTTTGCCCAGTACTTCTAGTTTTAGCACTGAATATTCCATATCCCAGGGAGCCCCTCAGTACTGTCCAAAAGCAAACCGGGATGATTGGTCACCTTATCTGAGATCCATCCTCAGCCCAAGCATTAGAGGATTCTCACAAATGAACTTCCAGAAATATTAGCTCACACAGTAAAACATAAAACACAGGATAAGACCCTGGGTGAGCCGCAGCGAGAGAAACAACAGACTCGGTACCATATAGATGAGAGTTTGGAATTATCAGAAACTGCCTTAGTATCTTCAGCTGCTATAACAAAATAACCACACGCTAGGTCACATATAAACAACAGAAATTCATCTCACACAGTTCTGGAGGCTGGGAAGTCCAAGACCATGGCGCCAGCCGTTTTGGTGTGTAGTGAATGCCCTCTTCCAGGTTATAGACTTCTGGTAGAAGGGCCAGTGAACTTCCTGTGGCCTCTGTTATAAAGGCACTAATCTCATTCACAAGGGCTCTGTCCTCATGACTTAATCACCTTCCAAAGGTCTTACCTCCTAATACCTTTATCTTGGGCATTAGAGTTTCAATGTAAGAATTGGGGGGGGAATGGGGGGAGGTGGGACACAAATATTCAGACCATAGTAGGTACTGAATATAATATAAATATGTTAAAATTTTTAAACTTTGAGTGTCTGCTTTTCTCTCTTTGTCTATTTTTTTCATTATTTTTCCACATGTGTTGTGGAAATTACATAGCAGCCAGATCCTATACTATGAGTATATTGCTTTATTTCTGCATTTGTATGTCTTCTCTCTGCTTATCTTGCTGTGTTCTAAGGAAGCCTTTGTGTGTGTGTGTGTGTGTGTGTGTGTGTGTGTTTTCCTGATTCCTTTTTGTTTAAGTCATCTGCGCAGAAATCGCACTGGAATTTTATGTTTCAACATTGTATGTTTTCTTTTTCAGTTGAATTCTAACTTTGCCGTATTTTCTCCTTAAATTTAATTTGTAAAATGTAAATTCATGAACTGTTTACTTTAGTAATAAAGACTCAGAGACTTGAATATCTAAGAACTTCTGAAAGTTAGCATATATAGTTTCTCTATATGTATTGCTACTAAAACAAATGTCAACTTTACCCATAAGTCATCTAGTTTTCCTTGATTTATTTTTTATTGTCATTAAATAGTATTTTTGTAAATATTTGGTATTTAAGTAAACCACTTTACTGGCATCAAATTGTTTTGGTTCTAATGAATGATTCTATCCAGAGTTAAATTATTTTCTGCATCAAATTTTTTCCAAAATTTTGGGAACTTACATGAAGCGTTAGGGAAAAAAAGTACTTTTATCCTAAATTAATGTATTGAAACTCCTTGAACATTTTGAATGTTGCTTCACATGAAGCAGTCCTGAGTGCAAGCCCACACAGCACCACCTGCTGTCTGTGCCATTCGGAATAAGCAGTATGTTTCCTGTGTTTGCTGTATCTCTGGGAGCTAAATATTTCTGCTTTTAGTGGCATTGTAGTACTGTAATAGGGAGAGAAATGTATATCAGCATGGCCAACCAAATGTAGGGTAAAACAAAACATTTTTTAATATGTAAAATATTTCTTTTTCCTTATTCTCTTGTAATTTTTTATTCAGGCAAATATTAAAAATGGTTCCAAGATTTTTATTTCTATACATCTTTAAGTCTTTTTTGAATTGTGGATCTATTATTTTTTTAAAAATATATAAATATAATTTCTTGCAATGGTTTTGTATTAGATCAAGAGCAGAGATTGAACACGAAGCACTGATTGATGGAAATCTGGCTACTGAAGCAAACCTAATCATTTTGGATACATTAGAGATTGTTGTCCAGGTAAGAACACAAAGAAGAAGAATTTAAAGTATAGATTAGGTAAATTGGGATTGGGGAGAAAGTATTTATTGAGCTATATAATTACATTTAATATCAGTAGCTCCTAAAAGTTATATCCTTACTCCTTTTTTTTTTTTCTCATTGAAATTCTATCCATTCTTTCCCCCCCCCCCTCTTTTCTTCTCTTATCCAAATCCTGGTAACCTTTTCCTTGAAGTCCTGCTAGATCTTACAGTATCATTTTCCTGTTTAAAAAATAAAAATGTATTTGTTTATACATATTCTGTCTCCCTAACCAAATTGCTGGTACATCTCCATTTTATTTATCTGTCTTTAAATTGCAGACAGTTTCTGTAACAGAATCCAAAGAGAGCATCCTTGGTGGGGTGCTAAAAGTGCTACTACATAGCATGGCCTGTAACCAAAGTGCAGTTTATCTACAACACTGTTTTGCTACACAGAGAGCTCTGGTTTCAAAGGTAAGTTGATTTTGTACCTACAGTCTTGTCAGGCTTTATTAGCATTGTCTAAGATCACTAGACATGTTCATTGGTTCATATATTTATAGTTAAAATTTTAATAATAACCCAATATCTTTGGTTCTTCTTTGCCTCTCTTCTGCTTGCCTTTTGGAATTCTTATTTGGATCACTTTTAACCAGTTTCTGGCTTAAAACATAGTAATTTTCATACAGAGAACAGCCTGAAATTAATAGCTAATTTTAAATTTGGGGCTTTTCTGGTTTTCTCTTCTTTTGTTCTGTGTGTTCCTTATTAACTTGATTTATCAAGAATTCTATGTATAAGTAGTTCAGTCCATTGAAATTAACTTATCCTATGGTAAATGGAAAAAAAGGTACATTTGTTTGTTCAACTACTTCAAATATTTATTTCATATGTTTGTTTACTCCCCACCCCCAAATATGTATATTCTTAAATCTTGAATCTATTTCATCTTAGTCATCTGACAAGATGGAATACAGAGCTGTTGATGAAACTTGACCAGTGAAAATAACTTATATACTATTTTGTAATAGTAAAAACACATGACAAAATTATTACATGTTGGCCACTATACTGTTTTATGTACATTATATAGCCTAAGATAGTCATACAATCTCACGTAGATAACATTATTAGGCTCATTTTATGGATGAGAAAACTTGTCCAAGATCACACTACTACTAGCTAGGAAGTGGCATAATCAGTGTTCAAACCGAGTTCTGTCTGGCTCTGTCCCACATTATTAACCATTGGCAAATATTGTCCCTTAACCATTCTTTTAATTTCTGGGCTATATTAACAAGTCTCTAGTTCAGAATTTATTAACATATCTCTGGAACTTTTGGTGTATAAATTCAGTGTTGACGGTGTTTTTTACAGTTCCCTGAACTCCTGTTTGAAGAAGAGACAGAGCAGTGTGCTGATTTATGCCTCCGGCTCCTCCGACACTGTAGCAGTAGCATCAGCACAATACGGTCACATGCTAGTGCCTCCCTTTACCTACTGATGAGACAAAACTTTGAAATTGGGAATGTAAGTATTTTGTCTCTGGATTTTATCTCTGGATTCATAGTGAAATATAACTTCTGCAGTTATCTATTAAATAGGTTTTGGGGGATCATGGAATTATTTTGGTATATTTTGAGTCTAATCCTAGACTGCCTTGATATTTCTCCATCTTTGGATATCTGATAAAAGTGCCAATCTCTAATTTTGCTTCCTGTACTAAAAATAACATATATAGCAATACAGACTTTGAATATAAGTGTATTTAAAGTTTAAATATCTTGGCCTGTTATTTTATGATTTATATGCCAGTCTTTGAAGAATTCCACATTCTCATTTAAGGTTTTTATATTCATGTTGCATTTTTCCTACCTTTTTGAGTCAAAGGTTTAACTCACATATTTTTACTGATGTAAGTATTTAGAATTAAATTTTAGAATTTTCCTTTGAGCACTGCTTTTGGTATCTCATTGGTTCTGAAATGTAGTATTTTCAATATTCTTGTTTATTAGATATTTGTAATTGCTGTTTGCAGTTTCTTTTTAACCCAAAGAGTTTACAGTTCTTTTTATTTAAAAGTTTTGAGGTTAATTTTTAGTTTTATTGCAGTGTGATCATACAATGTATGTCTCCTTTTTTTTTACTATGGGTGTATGCATTTGTGTATCCAAACATATAATGTTTTTTATAAATGTTAACACAAGCATTTAAAAAGAAGGGGTATTCTTTAGAGTATTGAGTTAAACAAATAAATACACCTCATTAATTACATTACTGTTTTTCTATATCCTTGTTCATTTTTTATCCATTTGGAGGACATAGAGAGGTGATTTAAATCCTACATATTGTCTTTTACCCCTGAAGTTCTTATTTGGCAAATTGATATTCATAAGTCTTACATCTTCTTATGAATTATTATTCCATTTAGAATTGAAAAGGGCCTGAATTAGTTTCATTTAAAACTTATTTTTTTGTACTAAATTCTATCTTGTATGCTATTAAGGTACCTTTGCTTTCTTTTTAATTTGAACTTTCTTCAATTAGCTTTGTCCTTTTATTTTTACTTTTTTGAATCACTTTGTTTTAGGTATGCCTCTCATATACAACATAATATTGAGTTTTGCCCTGTAATACAATCTCTAATTAAATCTTTTCAAACTTGCTTTTATAACAGATATGTCCTGGAGTTCTGTTGTATTATTTTGTTAGGTTACTTTTTCCTCTCCTTTTTAAAAAAATTGTGTTGGTTGTTTTCATCTATGCACCATCTGGTCAGTTCACCTTATAATTTGGGTGTAGCATTTATCATATTTAGGAAAGTTTATATTGCTCTAGTGATTACCTTTATAATTATGTAATATCTTTAGTCCTTTATTTGTTTAGATCTTGCATTCTCAGTGGAGGCAATATTGCCACCAAGCAAGTGAAAATTGGTTCTTAAAGGATGAAAAAAAATCTTAGCTATCACAATGATTTGTAGCCTTCCAAAGCTCAGCATTATCATCTGCATCTCATTCTTTAGTACAGTTAACCCTTGAACAACATGGGTGTTAGGGACACCATCCCCATTCATTCAAAAATCCATGTATAACTTTTTTTTTTTAAGATTTTTATCAGGGAATTGAGGGGGGCGGGAACAGTGCTGGGGAATTGGGGGAAGGGAAACAGGCAAGTTGCTGTCTTTTTTTTTGTTCTTCAGTCTAGTTGTGGAGGACGTTGCTTCACTGGCCCAAGTTGGCACCATCATTGCTCTCTTCCTAGGCAAGGCAGATCAGTCGCCGGCTTCTGGACGACCGCTCACTGCGGCTTGAGGGCCGCTCATGCTGGCTGCTGGCTACACACGGTAGCCCATGGCAACCCACTGCAGCAGGGGCTGCAGCCTACACTGTCGCCGGCGACTCACAGCAGCCCAGCCACGTGAAGCCTTTGTGTGTGTGTGTGTGTGTGTGTGTGTGTGTGTTTTCCTGATTCCTTTTTGTTTAAGTCATCTG